GTCATTTTCAATTACGAGTGCTTTTATGAAATACTTGAAATGGAAATCTTAGAGGAATTTCTATTACTTGGCGTAATTTTCTGTTTTTTTTTGTATATGTACGTGGCTGATCAGCCTTGTGTACCTGACACACGCTGTCGATTTTTGGAGTCTAAGGCTTACTCCAATGTACGAGTTTTGCACATAAGCAGGACGTCTAATTCAAATTCAAAATTCATTTATTCAGTTGAATCACATTATCACTTTGAATTGTCAACTCTACCGCCTGTTCGGAATCACGACCAGTACACAAGGAGAAAGGCAAGAACCTCGGGCTATTTTTTTTTGAACGTCTTAAATTATATCCTATTGGTGCACAGCCTGGCTCGAACCTACGACCTCAGGGATGAGAGTCGCACTCTGAATGTACTAGGTTGGGGCAGCTACCCTGCCCTAATTTCGCTTTAATTTTTACATAATTACGATTCGAATTGCATCATAAGCCCTACCTGACTGCTTAGAGCCCTGATTCATTTAATGACGTTTTTGGATTTTTGCCTGATCAAATGTTATAGTGGTATGATCATAGAGCTTGACGTCAATCATATAATGATTTTACATATTTGTTGGTTGGAACCTCTTTGTACATTATAGATGTGGTATAATACGTTTGTATGTGTGTTCTTTTGTGGTGTTCGACATAGCTGACTTTTCGATTTTCAGGAGTCATACGGTCCTGTCTAGCACTTTTTGGAGTTATTAAGAATATCGAAGTTGAATTATTTTATCATTTCATTTGATGAACATAATTGTTAAGTTTTATTTTGTCGTGAGAATTTTTATAAACAAGATGCATATTTATGAGTAGAAACATTGTAACATACAACATTGACTCTAGATCACATTATTATGTTAACTTTTTGTATCGCGCGAACCCAAGGCTGCGACGCCATCGCTACGGACATCGAAATTGGATACAAAAATGTCGGGATCGGCTATCGCTACTGAAAGTTACACGGTACCGGCATAGGCAGAATTGAGATAGATAGATGAAAAAAATTGTAATTGTTTTTTGGAACTCAAACAATGTAAATAATATAATATTTCCAGCATTATGCCTACTCCTTAAAAGATTAGTCTTATAAAGTAATGTTATGTGAAGTATATGAACTAAATAATTTCAACTCCATTCTCTATATTGGAAGAGTGTGATGAAAACCGATTTCTATATAAACCGGTTAAAGTTTCAGGTTTCCTAATGAAATCTATCAATTCTAAATAGATTCCGTTGCATTCTGATTTACATTCACTTAGATAAAAACGAATTAAAGGTTTAGAATAAATTCCTTTAAAAAGAACATTAAACATTTCTTCATTTATAACAGTCAAGAGAATTTTGTAAAATGTGTCAGTCTACGGAGTATTTGTTGATTATGTGAAGGACTTGAGTAATCCTGTGTCCTTCACCAGTGTGTCGGACTAGGTACCGCTGGATCGACAGAGTGGACGAGGACCTGCAGCTGAAAGCCAGCAATTGTCGGAACGTGGTACAGGACGGAGCGGAGAAAGTTTCTCTTTCTTTCTTTTAGATCGCAGAGCCAGCGATGTGAGTGAGTGTGTGTAAGTCGAAAACTTACATTTCCATTAAAGACATTGACTATCAAATGTTTTGTGAAGGCGTCGAGAAAATAAACTTTAAATACATACTAGAATTATATGTTGTACTTGTTAACGAACTAAGTAATATCATAATGGTATGCTTCGATTTGCTTGCCCCTCTGTGATCTGTATACGTCAAAAAGAATAGTTATTCATGGCTAACATACAATATAAAACAAATGATGAAGACACGTGACAGCACAACGTAGGGTTAAAAAAAACTAAGGATGTCCACATTAAGCCAATAAATACGGCATTAAATACAGAAAATCTGTATATAAGTAAATATGGTAATTCTCAAATAAAGAAATTGGATACATTATGGAAATATATAAAAAAACATGTGAATATCAGAGTTCCAACAATCACTTTCTAAATGAACAATGATCTAGACAAAACCGCAAAAGTCTATTAAAAACGCTGTAACTTTAAATTCAAACCAAAGTTATTTACACATAATACAAATACTAACAAAAATGTCAATACAGAATCTGGTCGTGACATTTAACAACTAAATATGCATGCCCTTCGTCTGTTACACCTTTCCTCACTGTTTTTGGTGTTAAACGACATCGTGAACCTATAAAGTAAGCTTAAATGGGCAGGCGACACCAGTCAAACGCATACACGAGGAATTATTAAACCACTTATGCCTAAGCATAGAGCAGAGGCAAATAAATGCTGGAATAACCTGCCACCTCCAATCCGCGACATCCAAGGTATTAAGTCTTTCAAGATAAAATGCAAAAATTATCTTTTAGAATGTCAGTCGGCTGGGTTTATTTATAAATAATTTTATTTTTATTGTTCACATTTTTTTTTGCGGTACTTATATAGACCGTGTCATTTCAAGGTAGTATGGACCCACTGAAAATCAGTGTTGCTGGTGAAAGCAACTTAAAGCTTAGTTGGTGGGCTGTTTTAGCCAAGTCGGATTTTTTATTGAAGTTATGTGTGCTTTAATTAAATAAGTATTTCTAACTTTTCTCAATTATCAAGAAAATTGAAAGTATTTTACGAAAATTTATTTATATAATGAACAGGCTTTTACCTTTCAAAATATGAAATGGGTGCCAAAGCATAATTGTTAGTATTCATCGATTTCGTTTGACGATCGTTGTGGTTCATTAAATTCAATCCAGCCATTAAGTTTTATAAAATTTGAAATCAAAATTATCCTCACCAATTATAGTTCAGATCTACATACCACTGAAAATCTTTGATCAGAATATATATAGATTACGTAGAAAACAATATTTTTTAAACATCAAATGATCGATTCATCTCGTGCCGTAAATGCTTACGAATATAACATGTCACCAGTGCATCGAATCTTTGATCCTTTTCCCCCCAAGTTTAGGAAGAAGTAGTCAACTGATTTTTGGTCTGGATTCATAGTGTTATTTCGATATGTTCGTTTACTTTGTTCCTGTTTGCTTATTGCTTAGCACGTTAACTTAAAATAGCTGAGGCAAACTTTTTGTTAATTGATTAAACATGAAATCTTTCTTTCTTATATCAGACCTATCAAGATTATTATTACTTATCTTGTTATGTCAAACTTATCAACATAACGGAAGTGGTATTTGATTATTTTATATGTATGTATATGGGTAATTTACTAGAGAAAACAAAAATATTTTATTCATCAAAATATATTCAAAGATTTTAAAATAAATCTTTGATTTTATACATATCCTGATTCACAAGGTCAGCGTTTTAAATCAATCCATTTTGTATGTTGTACTTTATTTACAAGATAAAATAAAAATTATATAATATATATAAAGTTAATAAAAATTATTTCTGATACAAAAGGACACCGTTAATGTATAATTAAATCGTGTTTAATAAATAATACAATTACAACAGGCGAGTCAAAATTCTGTAACTTTACGAAAACAAAATTTTCTTTCGATTTCTTATAAAATCGCGTAAAACAATTGTATTTCGTACTTTGAGTCCAGAAGAAGAATATATTACCCATCATATATTGAGATAGCGAGTGGTATAAATATATGGATTTATATAATCTGTACGTATGTACGAGTTGACCATAAAATGTCAGTAGTTGGGATCTCCCTTTATGCAAAGCTTGTGATGGGATAAACCACCCAATCCAGTTTGATAATTAACAAAGTTTTCCTAGTTTTAGAAGAAATTTACACTAAATTACATTTACATTTTAAAACTTAGATAATCTAAGATTAGTTATTGTTTCTTTAAGTAATGGTACATGAAACCGTTTTGGATAAAGGCCTCCTCCAGAATTTGAATGGCTAGTAGAGGGTAATTAGCAGAGAAGATAGAACATGTGATTTTATTTAAAGACAGTAAATGGTTGGTTCAGGTGTGTTGCCTTTAATAGCTTATCAAGTGCAGAAAGTAGTAATATAAATAAGTTCCTGTATAATTAAATGACTTTCTATAAGTCTGGCGCCTCTTAATTAGCGCAGTGATTTCGAGAGATTATTCGTTTCTAAATACCTGTAATATAGGGCTGGAGTGACAAGTATAGATAGTAATTATGGTTCTGGAATCAAATATCTGGGCAAAAGTTGCCCTTTTAAAGTATATTGATAATATTTGTTCAGTAATTTAGCCGTCATTTACATTTGCATGAAACATTTCTATGTGTTTATTTGGCAAATAAAAATTGAAATTAGTATTTAGCACCTATGACATTGTATAAAAGTTATAAAACAGGTTTAGCAACAAATTGGTATAAACAATACACAATTTAAATCTTAATATATCAGCGATATTGAATATTTAAATAGAGATTATGATAAATTTTGGTATATACAAAAAAGAAAATGTTATTAAGTTACATAGGTATTTATTTCAGTTTTGTTTGAGATATAAATTTGAAATCTTTATAATATTTTACTTTCCGTAGTAGGTACATATTGTATAATCTTCCATAATGTATTACAAAATTAACCTTTCGATACAATAAATACTGAATAGAGCTTGTATAAAACATTAATGACCGATTCTTATTATTAACTCAAAAGAATTAAAATTTTCAATTTAATTTTAAAAATGCTGCTAATTGTAGATAAACTTTAGATCATAATATTATCGTTGTATATTATTATGTATTTCATACTATTACCTCGAGACATAATATCAGCCATGTTCTAATCATTATTCATTGATACTACACCGAAATTGTCTAGTTTCGATTCGTAAACAAAAACAAGTCTACTACAAGGAAATCTCGCGGCCTAGCGTACGCACGGCGCAGGCCGCGAGTAGCGCATGTAAACAAAACTGAGGAGCAGTCGTTGTATGAATAACGCGATCCGCACTCCCGCTCGCCATTCTGTCGCGAAACTCCGGCAACGACGGTTGTTGCCATGATTGATTACGCGCGCCCCTACGATCCAAACATGTGCGAGTATTATATGCCTCCGTCGCCGGCGCCCGCGCGCCTTGATGACTTTCAAGTCTTCAAAAAAGGAACCTGTACCTACGGGAACTATTACAACACTTACGATGTCCTCGCCGAACCTGAGGTCGATACTGCGACTAACGTCTACCACAACCTCGTCAACCTCAGAGATTCATACCGCCCAGAAGATTGGAGATACAAAAGCGTCTTCGACTGGACAGCGGACGACACCGTGTCTTGGATCTTTGATTGCGTGATTGCTAGTGGTTTTAGTGAATACGATGTACCGTTTTATAACCTCAGAATTCCCGGTATCGAAATCAGGAGTATGGGACGGGAAGATATTCTTAGCAGAATGTTGCATTCCAGCATAGATCCAAACCTCTCGAGCAGAATAGCTGATGTGGTATATGAAAAGCTGCAAAGCCGTCTAAATGATGAAATTTTACGGCAGTCTACGGTGTTTAAATACGCTGACCCGTATCAAAGTCAGGAACAAACAATGTTAGATTTGGATTATCACAAAAATAAACTGTATTCAGATTACAAGCCCAATGATAGCAGTTTGTTACAACCGGCGGACTCTAGCGACGATGCGGAAGATTTGTTTGGTTCTTCAGCCGCCGCCTCTCCTGAATGTGCATATGGTAGTGATGGCAGTAAATCAGGTGATGAAGATGAGAGGCGGTCGAAATTAGTAAAGCGGCCCCCAGGTAGGCCAAAAGGAAGCGGCAAAAAGGGCGTGAAGAGACCGAGAAGCGTTTCAGTCCCGGAGTTCCTCAGAAATTTGTTGTTCGATGAGAGATACTGCCCGTCTATTATAAAGTGGGAGGATTACTCACAAGGAAAGTTCAGGTAAGCCGTTTGATTACGTTTTTGTAACGTTTTTGTTATTTTTTATCGTAAAATTTTCTTTGTTTCATTAATGTGCTTCTAATATCTTGTCTATGTTAAAACAATTGGTAATTATTGTTAACTATTAAGCTAAGTATCCATTGTGTTCCAAAGCACGTGGTTTAGCATACTCGATTGCTAATTTAAGTTAAACAATGCAATTATAAGTGTTTCATATTGGTATAGTGTCAGCGTTATTTTAGAATTATCTTATCATAGAGTAAACAAAACATTGTTATATAGGTAAACATATTTAATTGCTTTAAATGATGATGAGTTATGAGAAACCACAAGTTATACGAGATAATTAATATATAGGTTATTCAAGAATGCGCGTGCTATTGAAAATTCCTACACATATTTACTGGCATATTTATATTATAACATTTGATAAAAAATATAGCCCTGTGTACTTCTGGTACAATTGGCTTTTGTTTACATTTCATACTTGTTACTAAAGAACTTTGAGTTCCATTAGTTATTATGTAATAAAATGTGCCTAAATGCCATCAGTTAATGAACCGATTTTAACATATTATACCAAACGTACTCGTATACCCCGAAACCACGAATAATTGTAAAGCTTTTTTAGCGGATGCTTTGAAGCTAAATTATAAAAACTCTTATATTATTGCGATGTAGTTTTTTTGCACGATTAAAATTCCCATACCCACGTTTTTAATAAACTTAACCTTGTCCTTGCTAAACTCGTATACATATTTGAGATATTCATATAATAAAGACTAATATTGCTTGTCAAAATTTAAAAACAATTATTACGATTTTTAGGATTCGACATTTTGACCGTTAGCTAGGCCCACCTTTTATAAATGATTGTTATAAACGCTTCTGGCTAAGTCAAAATACTATAAATTATATAAATTTAAATAGCCATTGCTGAATACGCAAAAAATATTTAACTATTTTATAATTATTGATAGTTTTTATAAACCTTCAGCTGTTTTGTTTTGTTCTACTTGCAAGTCGCTTATTTTTACGATAAAACACTAAATTAAAGCGATGATAAGAAAGGTTATAACAATATTTTATATATATTGAATACATCAGACACGCCCCAAAATGGGTGGGTTTGTGAAAATAATTTATGTATCTAATCTAATATAAGTTATCACGACAGCGTGATAACTTATATTAGATTAGATATTATTTAAATGATAATTAATTTAATTAAAGATTTATATAAGTTAAAATGTAGTAACTATGGTATTGTTTTTCATTTTAAATTGAATGAAAGGAAGGTAATTAGATTTTTTTTAGGCAAGGTGCCTTAATAATATAATATAAATATTCTCCCACCATTTAGACCATACATTTTGACAATAATTATAAATATCTTAACTGTTCTTATTATTATGACATTATGCTAATTAATATGACATTTTCATGCCTATTTCTATATGGCTGATTGTTCCGTTTATTATATAATTAATAAATCTGAATGTACCACGATTTATTTATTATTTATTAATCAATGTAGGAACAAACTTTTATTTACACTTACACTATTACCTTATACAAAAACATACATATAAAAAAAACAGGTTACATAAGTTATAAGGCAACGGGCGGCCTTATCGCTAACAAGCGATATCTTCCAGGCAACTTTATTTGTTAGTAACAGGTTAGGTTTGGTTTTATTAGATGCTGTCGCTGACCACTTTGTAACTTTATGAGTCAGAGTTAAACAGAGAGTAAACTCCGAGGATTAGCTTTTGTATTACCAATCAATAAAAGAAATGCCAAATTAAAAATTAAACAATACGAATATAGCGGTGAAATGATTTTCCCGGACTAGTATCGCTCAACTAGGCCACCCCGTGTTAGTATAGATTTTTTTTCTCGTTGCCACGCAGCCTCAAGGACGATTTCCACTTCCGGCGCGGTTCTATACACGTGGGGTCTAAGAAATATACCTCTTATTTACACGTGTTAATCATTTGCGTGGTATTTTTATTAATTCACAGTTTTGTATTATTTATGTTGTTCATTAATCCACATTAAACCATTCACAAGGTCATTTGCAGATATTACTTAATGTCGGTAACCTTTTATTACAAAGTTTCATATAGAGGATATATTTCTATAGAATAGTTTTATGTTCTATATAAAGCGAAATAAATAAGGAAATAGATGTTATATTTGCATAATAACAATTATATCTTAAAGGAAAATGTGAGAAGAAGAAAACGTCTGCCTTGAAAGGCAAATAGATCACAAGAACAATAGGAATGTATTAAAATTGAAGTCTCCTTATGGCCACTGGTTACGGGATTTAATATCAAGAGACAAGAACCACTGGAAAAACCTATAAACAACTTATGTAATTTTAATGAATTACTTTATTTACTTCGTTTACTTAGAAAATATTAAAAAATATAAGACAAAAATATCTAAATATCTTATCTGTGAATATTTACTTTCTTAAATAAAAATTAGTGTGGTTTAATTTAAGAACATGCGTATCTATATAAAATTATGAATGAAAAATGTTGTGTGAGATAAAAAGTTTATTTTCCTTAAGAAACGTACATTCATTGTTTGTTATAAGAATGTATTCATTTAAATAAAATTATCTTTTATTTTATTATTTCATACATACGTAACTTTTCAATGTAGAACAGTATGTTATTAAACTAGCTAATGGCGAGGTTCCAATTTTTTGGTCCTAGCTAGGTTTTCTATACCTATCTTAATTTCTTTGCTTATAACTTAAAAACTGAATAAAGTTTTCTGTATTCTTAACTGAAACTTATATAAATTACATTAAGATTAATATTGTTAATTTTGCTAAGATCCACTTCAATATAACAAAAGTGTGGATAAAAATAAAATTAGGGAGCCGTTGCCATGGAAACCCCGGGCAGCATCCAGTCACGTGTCGCCGCTTCCGCTTTTCGCGTTTTTCTTTCGCATTTTTCTCCCCCAGGGGGCGGTAGGGGGTGAGGCACCCCGACAGCTCGTGTACGCGAGCCTTAATTGCGTCTGTGAGAGTGTGGTCCAGAGAAATTAGATAAAGACTAATTTGTTCACAGAGACCTTTTAAACACTCGTATTCCAATGTAAGTCGTCAAAATGGAGGAACACGTGGGTTAATATTCCTAATGCTGCAATTCTTATACAAATTTAATGAATAATTAGTTTTAAAAAACTGCATTTCAAAAGTGTGGGTTTTGGTGTTGTACACACCATATTTTACTCAGATCTATTTAATAATAACTATTGGAAATAAGCAAACCAAAATTATCATAGATTTAACTACTATAACCTAATATTGATATCAACCTATCAATTTTTATATATTGATAAAAATAAATGATTAAAAAATTAAATTATTTTCCTATTATTATTACTTAGATAAAAAAACACCATAAATAAAACGTATCCATATCGTGTCAAATACCAAAGTATTTGATAAAATAAATCAGTCGGCAATCAGTACATTTGGAGTTTTCTGCTACTCATCTGTCTCTTCATGACAGGGTAAACACAATTTGACAGAAAGAGATGAAACTTGTAACCATAGTTACGAATTGGGGTTAGATTATTATATAAGCTACGCTTTTGTGGACGTAAGTAGCAAACACACAATAGAACCTAGAAATCTTTAGTAATAATTCTTCCTGTTGAAGCGTAATATTATAATATTAATAATTTTGTCCTTGTTTACGTGACCGAATAATACCAATTAGTCTGATTATCCATGACGTAAACTATAAAGGAATTTATAGTTATAAAACCACATTATTAATAATTATTTTGACGTCCAATATTTAAAAATTAAATATTATTTAACAGTTCATATTAAGCACATCATATTAACATATTTAATAATTGTTGATTAGTTTATTAAATACTACATTAGGTTAATTTTTGCATGGTAATGTCGCATTTTAACGCACCATTTTCGGCTTTTTTGAAGTTACGTTAAGAATTTTTAGATAATTACTTTCTTAAGATTAAATTCATAGAATACGTATAATTACTGTATTAATCGTGAGTTATTAAAATAAATAATTAAATAATATTTGTCTCTAGATAAACCTACTCTATAAAGGAGCTTGCACCAAAGTCCCTGTAACATTTCTTTTTCGTGAAAATCTATTTATAACTAGGGCAGCCTTGTGCCGCTCGTGTCATTCAATTTTGTGCCATACCCCATAGGTATACAGTCTATAATCATTCGAAGTTAATGGATGCGTAAATATACATTTTTGTATGTATGTGTAGCAAATTTTTTTCTCATAGTGGCTCTATTATATTGATTAGTAGAACCCCCTTCCGGGTAGAGGCTGGCTTGAATCGCCTTGCCGTTTTCTTTGTTTTTATACGAGAACATTTTAAGAAACTATACGTTTGTAATACTTGTAGTATACCATTCGTATTTCGAATTATAGAGCCGAACATATTAAATTACACATTACATTATACAGTTAAATTATATTTTGATAGTCAAATTATTGCTTGCTTTAGACTAGCAACAATATTATTCAAAGTAGACTACTGTCTAACTTTGCTTAGTATTTATTTACTTTGTAATAATTTTCTATTAATTTCAGTAACTTCTACAGTCATTCATTTTCTCAATACTGTACTATTATACAATTTGTCAGCATGTCACCTCGTTATCATATCATTTGATAAAAAGGTCACGGTGAAATGTCAAGTCTTATGCATACTAAGCAACGAAAGTTTAATCAGCTTTTCACTTCTGCTTAACAACAAGTGGAGAGTGATATAGAAGCAAAGCTTTTCAATATAATTTTACATAAAGCTTTCATACCACACTTCAGTGGTACCGCCACTTCCAGTATTGTGTGGTTGAACAGTCAATCATATCGAAGTGAATTTTCAATGATAGGTCAAAGGCGTATAAGAGGTGGTATTAATTGCGTATCAAGTAATTTCATGTTTTTTATATATAATATTTTTAGTAATCTTTTGTTC